ATTGAACCTGGGCTCCAGCAGTGGAAGCCCCGAGTCCTAACCACCTGGAATTCCCTGTGTGTCTCCATTTTGAGGGTCATGGAGTCAGGCTTGTAGATCTGAAATGGGGGCCCCATTGGCTCAGTGAAGGAACCCTTGAGGAAGGGCACATTTAGAGTAGAGGCATCATGTGTTCAAAATTGTAGAAACCCTACTATCATTTTTTATTGTCATTATTCTAATTTATATGTGATCCTATTCAGTTGCCCCTATTCAGATATTTTCTTCTTGGCTTTTAAACTTTACCAAATATCAATTTCTCTGTTCAGGTTAAAAAAAAAAAAATGATTTGGGTTCCCTAAGTGGATGTTTTGTAATGAGAGCATTTAGGCACCTGGGTGTCTTTTATTTCCAAGCATATAGCCTGCTTTCTTGCCAGACCATCAGATGCCCTTCACTAGGCAGTCTGGACAGACCTTTATGCTTCTGTCTCAGGAGCAGGCTTGCTGGCAGTGATACCTGGCATTGCAAAATCCTTCCGTAAGCCTTTGTTTAATGCCAGAGATCACAAATGCTGAAGATTCTGGAAAGGTGCCATACTGCACTCTCGGATTAGGAGCTGATGGAAGGCCTCCCATATCTATGAGCCTAATAGAAGCTGTCATTTCAAATGAATGAACTGTTTATACTGTTGGAAGAAGTCCACGGATGTTTGGGGTTCCTTTTTTAGCCTATAAAGTTCTGAGCTATTGGACAATGGTCTCATAGACAGTAGTCTAATCATTGCAATGTTGTTTGTGCCACTCTGAGGTGAGCCTGTAAGAAATTCAGCTGTTCCTTTTGCTGATTCCTGGGATCACCACTACAGGCTGGTTGACTTGGAGCGTTTTCTCATTTGTCTTCTGTGTCAAAGACTTCAGTGGGAAACGTGGGGTTTTGTGCACCGTTAAGAATGATCATCAACTGAAAAGAGCATTCTGGAATGCATGACTGGGCAGGTGGGCAGGAGAACATGGAAGTCCCTTCAGAGTGTGCCTAGGTTGCTCAAGTCCCACTTAAGACATGAATGCGGGTCCTCTTACTCTGAGGCACAAGATCATCCCAAACTCTGGACAGTCTTAGAAAATCCGCGATGCTCTTTGCTCTGCCTCTTCCTCTGCCAGCCCAGGATTAGGCTGTGAGAGTAGGTGTGTCCAGATGGTGAGCTGGGTATCGCCCAGAACGAGGAGAATCTTTTAAAGGATTCGGCCTTGGTGAACCCCTGGGATCCCCAGCCTGAGCCTGTGGTTGCAGAGCCAGCCCCGGATCCTTCCAGGTGGCGCCAAGGGCTCCCTGCTGCTCCCAGCCAGACGTGGGCTGCCAGTATGTTCACACAGGCCTGGTTCTGGGGCTCCAGAGGGCACAGGGTGCCAGCCATAACACTGAGTAATGCTGGGAGGTGCCTTTAGAACAAACAGTGTGGGTGAGCTCTGCACAGAGGGAATACCTCTGGCTTGACGTTTCAATTACTGAATTATTTAAATGAGCGTCAATTAGGTAGAGTAGACGGACTGCCTTCTGCCAGGGCACTTCCTAGTTATTTGCACAGGCAAGTGTAAAATGCTTCATATCAGATGTGGTGCTTCCTGGCTGGACTGTTGAAAATCAGTCACAGAAGGTGATTATCCTTCCTCGGTGTTCCCTGATGTGTAGTGTATTTATATCTCAGTCTGAGAGATTAGAGGTCCACAGACCCTTGTTTGTGGCCCTAAAAAGGGCTTTGTGATAATTCTCACACTTCCCCACCCCACCAGCCTACCCCAAATAAGATATCCCAGGCCCACACATGTTATGGTTATTCCTAAATTTTAACAAGATGAAAACAGTGAGTCACAGGCATTTGGGGGCCTGTTGTGTTTCTTAGAATTGTGAATATTAAGATCTGAAAATGCTACTACCTTGCTTTTAACCTGCTTTGTTGAATTAGTGATCCTGGCTCAGAAAATCCTTTTGGGGTCTCTTAGGTTGATCTACTCTGTTGGATAAAATTGCCAAAGTGGCATTTAACTAATGTTTGGGTCTGGTGTAGATGTGTGTGGGGGTGCATGGGATCATTCTTAGATTGTGAATTTAAGGTTTTTATATTTGGCTGTATAAAAAAACCTGAAGGGCTCTGCTAATCAGTCATATGGGAATTCACAAATTAAGAAAATTAAATGTTGGTGAAAAGCAAAATAGAAAGCAGAGTTGGTGGAGTTTTTATACTTTCCCATTTGCTGACTACTGAACTGAACTCACGGTCCCATATCAGAGACTGAGTTAATTATTACATAGAGTTAAGAGTTGTCTTCCTTCTTTTTTCCTTTTTTCTGATTGTGGCAGGGAAGATCTGAAAACCTTGGTTTTTAACTTAGAGTATGACCCCACAGGATAAGATCCGATTAAAATCTGCACCCAGTTACGCCTGGATGCATGGCAGGGTTGGTTCTAGTGGGCTGAATCTTACTAAAGACGGCATCTACTTGAGGCTACTCACTTCTGGCAGTATTCTCTAGGTCACAATTGAAACATCTGTCAGACCATCCCCATGTCCTTTCAAAAGCCAGAGACCAAGGTAGGAGATATCTTGTGCCTGTGCACCTAGAGTTTGGGCTCTGACTTTAAAAACCGAGTTCACTCTGAAGGCAGGTTAGAGAAATTATTATTGTCGTTACTTTATCTCTTTTAATTGACTTTTTTTTTTTTTAGAAGCACCAAGTGTGATTAATTCTTTGGTACCCTGAACCATCTGTTTCCATAGAATCGGTGATGAGTGAGCCCTCTGTGGCCTGGGGTTGTTGTTTGTTGTTGTTCCTGGCAGACCCTACGTGTAGCAAGTAAATGATTCATCCTCCTGTCTTCATTATCAGTCTGTGGCCAGCTCCTCTCCTGTATTATTTTCATTTTACCCCTTCAGCCCCTCTTCCCCAATCCAGCATCAACAGATACAACCTCTTTAATGTGTTCAGTATGTATTTTTGGATATCCGTGACCTTTAAAAATTATTTAGGGTCTTAAAATACACATTTGTGTTTCACATTTACATAAATTACATTACTGAACAGCTTTTCAACATACACTTTTAAATTCTCAGCTATGATCGCAAATCAGTATGACACCACTAACCCTGCCCCTCACCCCGCCCATCCATTTCCCTCCAAAGAGCCATCACCTGTTGGGCAGCATAGTTGGCAACCCTCAGCACAGCTTTGTGCCATCCGAGAGTGGCAAGCATGTCTAGACTCCCTAGAAATATTATCTTTCAACTTGCTTTTGGCAAGAGTAAACTTTCTGCTGGATTATGTCAACAGATATATATGTTTCTCATCCTCATAGAAATAGATTGGTGCTGGAGTTTCTCTTGGATTTCTCTAGGCAAGGAAAAATAAAAGACTGCCCCTCGGCTCATTAGCGTTCTTGCTTATTAAAAATGTCTGAGGGCTCTTGCTCCTTGGGGGTGAGACTGGTGACATACATACACTGTCAGCGGCTATTTTGGATTTTCTGCTTTCGGGCATGTCTCTGCTCTTGGATGAGCCCCTTGTGGTTTTCAAAAGACCTAGCAAGTCAATTATAAATAGAAAGCTTGTGTCTGTGTGTCTGTATGCGCTTACTCTGTGGGACGAGGCACCCACATTACAGTGGGCAGTGAACTATTTTTCACTGCTTTGAAGAGGGAAGAAGAAAGATGAAGAATGCTTTTCTCTTTTTGAGATAACCCACACCTCCACACATACCCACACAAATCTGTGTAAATGAACTTGACATTTTCAAAGACCTTACCTTAAGGTCTCCTCTTGAAAGCACAGCCATCCGACCTGTTATTTTAAGAAGGAAGCCGTTCTCTCACTGACCTGCTGCCACAGAGGGTTCAGGGACTTGAAGGCAGGCTGTGTGTGCGGCAGGCCTTCAGGGGGTTTTGAAAGGCGCCACCCCTTTGTATGAACAGTGCTTTGGTCAAAGTGGCTCAGCAGACTGATCAGGGGCCTCCAGGAATGGCTGTTTATATTCTGTCTTCACTTTCCTTATCCACTAGTGGAAACTGCTGGTACCAACCAGTCTCAACTAATTATTCTAACACAGGAAAGAAAAGAGTGATTTGAAAGATGAAACTGCAAATGAGTGTTTTCAGAAAGAGACAATTAGGAGGTCTGGTGAGGTATGCGTCACTGATGCCTTGGATGTCTTGTGCCCTGGACCAACCTGTGCAGGCTTTTCCTTTCGTCCCACTTGTTACTTTACTGTTCAAACACTGTTCGATTCCCTTTGTCTTTTTGTGCCTCCATCCTCAATAATTAGTGCCCCCCCTTTTTTTCCTGCCAGTTGAAAATGTTTTAGCAGTGATGAATTCCCATAGTAATTAATGTAAAAACTCAAGTGTTCTCCTACGGAAAAATTAATCTAGACATCTAAGCGAAACTGTCGATAACATGGATATGTAATTATAGACCATGCACCTTTGTGAACTCTTACTGTACTGTTGTGTTTCTGAAGCAGATAGGTGATGGCAGGAACATCAGCTGCTCTTGTGTGAGTAGTTGACAGGGTTTCGTATGCAGCTGGTGGGAGCTGGTATTAGCAGATGCTATGTATCTAGGAGCCTCTTCTACAAAAAATAAGAGCAATGAGCATTATGCTCTGGTAAAAACATTCTGATTCAAGAACTGGGATATGAGAGCCCACCAAACCAAAGATACCTTGAAAGCCACAATGGGAGAAGTCCATTTTCAGAAGCCTGTAACAGATGATAACCGTTCTTCAGCCTAGTAGGATGTGAAAGTGCACCCAGCTTATAGAAACACATTCATACCTTGAGAGGTGATTATTATTTGGTGGTTGGTCAGATGAGAGATGTAAGATCATGACCATTGGTGATACTTCACCTGACTTTCTTCTGTTCGGTTAATGCATTTGCATTGGTCTTGGAGAGACTGTGTGATTCCCCCAATGGGGTTACAACCCACACAGTGATTTTTGTCTTCCTTTCTCTCCCCACTCTGCAGACGAGAAGCCCAAGGTAAACCCCAGACTTTACATGTGTGTGTGTGAAGGCCTCTCCTGTGGGAACGAGGACCACTGTGAAGGCCAGCAGTGCTTTTCCTCGCTGAGCATAAATGATGGCTTCCACGTCTACCAGAAAGGCTGCTTCCAGGTCTACGAGCAGGGGAAGATGACCTGTAAGACCCCGCCGTCACCTGGCCAGGCTGTGGAGTGCTGCCAAGGGGACTGGTGTAACAGGAACATCACGGCCCAGCTGCCTACTAAAGGTTCCCATGGACTTTTCTATTTCTAGATCAAGGGTTTTAGTTAGTCTTATCCTGGTTCTTTGTGGGTTAAAGATGTGAGTAGCCACAAGACTTTCCTCCTAGTCTTTGAACAATGGGTGACAAGGAAGTTAGGTCCAGTGAGGAAGAGGAAGGCATGGCCTTTTGGAATCTATAAGGAGGATGGATGTTTTGGGGAAAGTGAGCAAAGTGATATCTACTCTGGGGATGATTTGGCAGACCAGGTGTCTCTTGGTGTCATGAGAAGGTGAATAGCTCCTGATAACCTTTTTCTGAAAGGAGCTATGAGATCATAATTTCTAAAACAGTTGTGCTTATTAGGTACTTGTCTCTATGTTGAGTATGTAGGGAGGATAAGGCTCTGGCATCTGATAGAAAATACCTTTCCTTCTTTAAGAGGAAGGAGACAAAGCCATTCTCCTGTATCGGATGCCCAGTGATCTATCACTGCAACTTGAAGCTGGGTGAGGTTTCACCTCAACCTTATAGTTTATGTGGAATCTTCTCCATATTATAGTCAATATGGACTTCAATCCTCTTCTGAAACTGTTTCCCCATAAAATGAGCCCTACACTGCATCTCAAAGTCCCTACATATATTAATGTACCTTAGTCTGTAGATTCAGCCCAAGCCAAATTTACTGTCTTAATATATACTACATGTTTAATAGGTGTCCTTAATCTTATACTCACACAAAAAAAAAACAAACTGTAGGAGAGGTTATGAGAAGTATCCAAAGCCAGAAATGATAACTAGCAAGAGAGAGAGACAGAAAAATGAAAAACAAAACAAAACAAAAAACTGATACAAAATCATGTTGTATAATTAATAATTTTTAAAGTTATGGTGAGGACCTTAAGGTCTATAGAAAAGGTTAAAGTCTGGTAAGCAAATAGGATTGAATAATAAAAGAGATTTTGTATTAAATGGTTAAAACTAAAAAGGGTACTTGATGGAATAAATTTTTAAACCTTGTGAGTTAAACTGTGATTAATAGAGTGGACGGACCATGAAAAATGTCTGCAGTCACATAAAAATCATGTCTACAGTATGAAAAGTTTCTCATCTGCAGAAGACTCTACTAGATTAGACTTGTAATACAAAATTTATTTACTTAAGGAATTTCTAATTTAATTAGGGAGGCATGATATTTATAATTTAATGTTGTACGTAATTAGTTTTATACTTTGTTTTACAAATGACATGTACCATGGAGTATTATGTGACACATTATTGATTAATTTGGATTTGGAAAGTTTAGAGAAATTTATAAAGGAAATTCAGCTTGAGATCGAATGACTGAAGGGGCCAGGACATGGAAAGAGTAAGACCTTCGTGGGGAAGAACAGGGCTTGGTTGTATAATGTCTTAGGAAGGGGGTCTGAAATCAGAGGTGATAATTGCTTTGGGATCTTTTAATTATGACCTTCACTATCCAACTAAGAAACTTTAACTCACTAGACAAGATGAAAGCCTCTGTGACATGTGAGTGTTTAGGTGAATGAATGCATAAATGTTTGAATGGGTGATGTGATAATGTCTGAGCCAGAGAGTCAATGTGTGATTAGATGAGTGAGTGAATCAGAGTGAATGTTTTAAGTGAGTGAATTAATGTTGAATAAGTGAGTTAAAGTTGAATGAATAGGTTCCTAGGCACAAATCATGATGCAAAAATAGCAATGAGAATACAGCAATAGATATCCAAGAGAAGGCCACAGATTGGATAATTTGGTCTTAACTCAGATAGCACTTTCTCATAGGAATATTGCAGCATAATATCTGTCTGTAAGGACTTGATGATAAAACATCCTTACAGATCAAATCGTCAGTTAATAAGGATAGTATCAGATTTGTATAGTACTTTATATTTTAAAAACACTTTTCACACAGATGCGTTAAATTGGTTCTCAGTGGAGTTTTATCAAAATCCTATTGTGTCTAAATGAATAATGGTTAAATGACTGGGCTGTTGGCCAGGTGTTATGAAGTATTTTAGTTTTAGCACTTTGCAACTTATAAAAACTATGTGGTCAGGGTCAGGAGCTACTTGTTAGATATTGGTTATACTAAATATTAACAACAATGATCCTACAGCCAATTATCTTTCTCTCCCCCATCTCCAGGGAAATCTTTTCCTGGAACACAGAATTTCCACTTGGAGGTTGGCCTCATCATTTTGTCTGTAGTGTTTGCAGTATGCCTTCTAGCCTGCCTATTGGGAGTCGCTCTCCGAAAATTTAAAAGGCGCAACCAAGAACGCCTCAACCCCAGAGATGTTGAATATGGCACCATTGAAGGGCTCATCACCACCAACGTTGGAGACAGCACTTTAGCAGTGAGTTTGGGCTCCAGGGGACCCCTCGTGTGACAGAGATGGCTGAAGATGCTTTGTCATTTCAAGTATGAAATGCTAAGCAGTTACTGGTGACTGGACCATGTGCACACATACTACTGGTGTCTCATGTTCTAAGCAAGCATATGCTGGCACGCTTATGTGAGTTTAGTCTCCTCTACATGAGAACATTTATTTTAGACAGACCTTTGCATTAAATGAGTGAGTGGATTTATTTTAGTTGACTCTTGGTAGTTATTTTTCTTTTGGGAGTGAAGGGACAGGGACAGACAATGGTCACCTGTAATTTTGATGGTGGGAGGGCAGGGTTGGAGTTTACGGTACTCAGTTACTCTATTTTTAGCAATAATAGTGCTTTTAGCAAAAAAAGGCACCCTTTGCCTAATATTAAAAATCACTTTCCTGTTTAGATTATTTTAACACCCTGTAATTTAAGACTTTAAAACCTGACATCCAAAAAAGCAGCCATTACATTTTGTGTGCTCCTATGCTGCCCCCTTGTGGAGGGCACTCATTCGGATACACCAACGCTGTCCAATGGAAATACGTGCGGCACGTGTAGTTTAACATTTTCTAGCTGTCGTTGCTGTTCACTTGCTAAGTTGTGTGTCTGACTCTTTGAGACCCCATGGACTGCAGCACGCCAGGCTTCCCTGTCCTTCACCATCTCCCGGAGTTTGCTCAAACTCATGTCCATTGAGTTGGTGATGCCATCCAACCATCTCATCCTCTGTTGCCCTCTTCTCCTGCCCTCAATCTTTTCCACCATCAGAGTCTTTTCCAATGAATCGGCTCTTGGCCTCAGGTGGCCAGAGTATTGGAGATTCAGCTTCAGCCTTGGTCCTTCCAGTGAATAGTCAGGGTTGATTTCCTTCAGGACGGGCTGGTTTGATCTCTTTGCTGTCTTTAAAAAAGTTAAAACAGAAAAACAACCCACAGATGGTATTAATTTTAAGAATATATTTAACATAACATAGTTCACATAATAATTATCATTTCTGTATATAATCATAAAGAATTATTAGTGAGATACTTGGCATCCTTTTTTTAAAAAAGCTTTTGAAATCCGTTGCGTATTTGACACACCCGTACAGCAGACAGCGTTCAGATCAGCTGCATTTCTCTGGCTCACTGTCAGCCTGTGGCTTACACACAGTTAGAAACCATTGTATTGGTATGTTTTGAAGTTACTCTTTTTGCACAGTTTAAAATGATGAAATCACATTAAAAAGCGACTGTCTTTTTTCACTTTTCGAAATTGTTTGTCAAGTGTTAATTTTAAAGCACCTTTAAGCTTTAAGTGAGAAAGAGAATCACATGCTATGAATAGGTTACGTCAAGTGCTGAAGGGAAAAGTAATAACATTCTACAGGGGTATTATGCTGAGTCAGATGGTCCCTTTAAGAAAGGCAAAGATCTGTGAATGTGAGAAAGATGTTAAAAGTCATGTTGATACCAAATCGATGCTCTCCTTGTCACTGACTGATGAAAGATAGTCAGGGTGGCAGCATTTAATGTGATTCAATATTACTTATGCCATGACTATGCATCGCCTAAAACTGTCTTGAATTAAGTCTTGATCTGCTAGATAACAAACCTAAAAGTGACTGCGAGTTCTGCAGTGAAGCGTTTTTGCTGGAGAAGACTTGCTCCCACCAGGCTTGGGAGCTCAAGTGCTACACCTGGACGACTGCCCTTAGCCAGCTGTGCAGATATTTGATGGTGGCTGATACAGGCTGGGAACTAGCCTATCCTACTGCCTTCTCCATCGCTGGACCACAGTCAAGTTTTGTATGAAAAAAAGGGGGAAGGAACCTTGTTTAGCTTTCTTCCCCCTACCTATTTAAATTCTGCTACATCAAACTGGCAAGAGAAGGGATAAGGACATTTCATTCAGAAAGTAGAAAACCAGTTTTTCTTTAGAAGTGTACTTAGAAGTTTATTTCACATTTTAAGGCAAACTAAATGAGTTCTTTGAGTTATTAGCAAGGAAGATGCAAGGTTGAATCCTGACAAAACTTCAGCAAAAAGTATGAGATCGAGTAGTCAGAATTTTGTTTCTTAGAATTGCTAATGTAACTAATCACATTGGGCACTACTGGGAACCTCTAGTCTAAATTACTATCTAAGTGGCTTCTATAATTCTGAAAGCAGCATGGTAGCAAATGCTAAGATAGTCTTCTCCACTCAGCCATGTTAAAGGACAGTATATCACGATATGACATAGTAAACAACACTGTTTAAAACAAGTCATCATTATTGGTTTACAGACATGCTTATTTAAGTGATATTCTCATTTACATGACTCAGCAATGTCTACCTTACTAAATAGCTCCCCTGCACTGAAAAAGAAGCCTTGGCATCCAAGAGTTGAAGTAGTGTTTGTTAGTCTTGGGTTGATATTTCTTCCTCCCACCCCTGTCCTGAAGTCTATGAACTAGGTTTAGAACCAGGACTGCACATTATTTTTAAAAAACACAGTTTAATTTTCAAAATTATTCTCTCAAAAAAATGGATGAGAAAAGTTAACAGCAAAAGAGATAGTTAGGGAGGTGTGAAACTACTTCATCTATATTCAATTTCTTGCTGATTATCTATTTTATGGCTTTTAAGAATTCTAAATTTCTTTCTTTGGATGTTCAGGTTTTGGTAATTTTGCTGATCAACAGTATTTCAGAGTGGTGCTCAGAGTAAGTAAAAGATGATGAAATTTGAACAAAGAAATGTATTCCTTCAACAGGCCAGCTACAATGTTTGGGAAAGGAGGAGCTTTGGGGAGTGTCAGCTCAACATTGCTGTAACATTACCACAATCACCATAGGCGCAGTATTGTTTATGATAGAAAATCCATTCCTGATTCAAAAAGGCATCTGCTTCTTGGCTTGCACTGAGAGTAAGAATGGAAAATTTATGAATGAACTAATTGGGAATCTTTTTTGTAGTGTGTTCATTTTTAGAAGTAGATTTGAAGGGAAGGGAAGTGAAAGCCGCTCAGTCGTGTCTGATTCTTTGCGACCCCATGGACTACAAAGCCCATGGAATTCTCCAGGCCAGAATACTGGGCTGGGTAGCCTTTCCCTTCTCCAGAAGATCTTCCCAACCCAGGGATTGAACCTAGGGTCTCCCACTTTGCGGGCAGATTGTTTACCAGATGAGCCACAAGGAAAGCCCAGAAGTAGATTTGGGGTATAGTTGTATGTTTTAATGGAAGTTATATTTCTTTCTCTCTCTGCTTTGTGGGTAATTGACATCAGGAATGACATACAGTATATGAAATCATGTGTGAGAAACTTTTGAAAATTGTAAAGCACTATAGAATTTAAAGAATCTTTCCTCATTTAAAAATTTTAAGAGTAGACAACTATTTTTTAAAAAAGGAAATGACATAGAGGTATTAATTTCGTGACTCTTGTTCCTTGCCTACCTTAAAGGTAACCTGCATCCTGATCATTCTCTCTGCTCGAGTGGACCAAGTTGAGGATGCACACGGCCACTGCATTAGAGTTGCTTGTTCCCCATTCCTAATTCGTTCGTTCCTTATTAGAGTTCCTTAGCTGGCATGTCAATTAATGTACATCCCTTGATAGATACCATGAGCAGGGCAGAGTAGGGTCAACTGTGCTCAGCTTTTGGGCTTGAAAGCCTTTTATTTTTGCTCCACTTTCTGTCTAGTGCTTTCCTTTGGGCTCAGCCCTGTATTTTGGGCTTTTTAATTTACATCTTTGACTTGGTCCACTCATTTTCTTTCTTCAGCTATTTTATTCTAAAACTCTGGGTACAAGAAAGGACTACTCAGGAAGATCCCTCAGGGAAACCGATCCCATATTAGGGAAGGGGCTAGCTTCAGGTTTTCCTAAGGAATAAGATCAGTCCTTCTTCCAGTGGGGCTTTCCATGCACCCGGATGGGCCACGTTTCCAGGATCGCAGCCTCCATGCAAGTTACACCCAGATGCATGCTCTGACCTGGAAGCGGTTCCTCAACCCTTTCTCTTTCTCCTTGTTTTGAACTACAGGATTTATTGGATCATTCGTGTACATCGGGAAGCGGCTCTGGTCTTCCTTTTCTGGTACAGAGAACAGTGGCCCGTCAGATTACACTGCTGGAGTGTGTTGGTAATTCTCTTTTCCCTTTCTTTGTGGGGTCTGTGCAGTGTTCACTGTGGTTCTAGAAGCATATGGACCTTAGAAAATCTGCTTCTCCTTGTCTCTTGCTTGTTAAATGTCAGGAGGTGTGAGATAGCCCTGTGGAGTAGCTATGCTTCTAATCTGTGACTTGTGTTGGAGCACTTGAACTTGGTAAAGTTCTTTTCAAAGGAGTCTGCCACTAGTTAGTATAGAAAATACCTAGTCAAAGGCTTTCAGTTTTAAGTAAACCCTTCACGATATTGGGACTGCTTGAAAATGAACTAATATGCCTGCTCCTGACCAAAGATAGGCATTGGTGAATCTGAGGTAAGTTGGTTTTTGGACAATAATCTTGACTATTGCAATTTTTTACTTTCTCATTCTTCCTCCTTAAAAAAAAATGAAATAAACTTGCTAAAGCTACCCTTATAGCTCCTTTATTTAAAGGAGTTATGTACTTTTCTCTATGGCTTCTCACATTTTTTTTTTTCCTGTATCAGAATATATTTGTGTAGAGATGTAATCATAGTGTGTATGTAATGTGTCCCTGTTTTCAGTTTTAAGCTCATACACATTTTCATGTGTTTGTACACATCACAGGTATCTGAGTGGTTGTGTAATTGTCTATTGAGTAATAACTTTAACAATACTTAAAAAAAAATTGGCTCACATTGCTTCTTTTGAGTGAGTAGCATAAACTTCCAGGAATTGGGGTTCCTGGGTCAAATTTTTTAGCTTTGTATGGCTTGTCTTTATATATTGCTGAATTGTCCTCTTGGAAGATGGCGCAGTATGCTTTTTTTTTTTTTTTAAGTCCTGATTTTTGGGTATTTGCGAGTCACATGACAGTTTTCAGTAATTTCTCCTTTAGATGGCATACAGGGATGGCCACAGTAGCAGTAATGGATTAGAACCATCTCCACACTCTCCTCCTAGTTCTCCCAGTTTGAGAGGCGTGAGCTGGCTTTGCAGCTCTCGCCATCTCATTTTTTTTGTTTTTGGGAGGTGACTGGCCATCATAGGCTGCTTCACCCTTGGCTGCTGCTACCCTCCGACTTTTCTTCCTGTTTTCGTGGGAGCCAGGACATCCCCAAATACAGCAGTTTAAGGCAGGTGGGCAGAGGTGGTAAAAACAGCGACTGCCGCCTGCAGGTACACTGGCTACTGGCAGGAGCCTGTGGCCTCTTCTCTAGGTCTGCAGCTACTGTGAGTGTTTCTGAACTCCCACTTCATGCTTCTCCACGGTGGACTGTGAGTAGGGAAAATATTAATAAAAGTGGAAAAGCTCCCAACATGCTCACTGCTTACAACCAAGGTAGTTTTCTTATACCAGCTAACATCCTATTTGATCATGAACAAGGGTGACTGGATTGGGATCAGAAGGCAGTGAAGGGGGACATTACCCCCCACCCTGCTGTCCCATGGTAACTCACCATTCATGCAACAGCAGCCCTCAGGGGTGGACCCCAGAGTCCAGAGGACAAAATAATATTGCATCTTTAAAAATGCATACTGTTTGTGGTTGTATAGATATTCTTCAACATTTTTTAAAATAGTTCAAATTCATCATTTTACTCCTTAATGCTAAAGAGCCATGCATTTCAGTAGCTTCCAGTATTCATGTAGTACAGCCTTGGATAAAAATATATGTTATGAACTGTTTGGATAGTATCTTACCATTTTTGGCTCAAAAATATAGGGAATTGGACTAGATCAGTTTTTCCAGGTGGGATCAGTGCACCTCTGAATTTCAGGTGTTAAAGCGTCCACTTTTGCATCTCCACGGCCAGGACTGAGGCAGCTCTGCTTCTCTTTTCAGGAACTTATGCATAGGCTGCATCTGCAAAAAGCATTTGACAACTTAAAAGCCTTTGAAAAGTACTGAAGTAGCTTTCTGTTTCAGTTCTGTCCACTTACGCTGACATCTGTCTCTGTTTCCTTTGTAAAAAGGATTTGAGGCAACTATATAGTAATGTCCACAATGCTCTGGGGTATTTTTCTCTCCTTCCTAATGAGAATATGAGGACAAAGGGCTAATAAAGATACAGAATGGAACCAAAGGCAGGAGAAGATTAGTGTTCCATTTTGTAGCAGTCCATGCTATAGATCTTAGCACTGGTCTTCATCTTAAACTACAAATGCTGGACAATTGCCATGACTTTATTCAAATTAATCCTGCAGCCATTACGATTTTTGTGACTTGACAGTGGCCCACAGAGGCCCTTCCTGGGTTCATTTAATGCCCTTTGGATTGGTCATTGGTATTTAGTAGGGAGACACTGCTTATCATAAGGGAATCTAGATTGAACAGTTTTGATTATGCTTCAGGACATAATCTTCTGGACAGACATGCTTTCCTTCTCCATGTTTGGGTTCTCAGCGGCTTAGTTCTCCAGCAAAGAGCTGTATTCCTGCATATGCATACATTCCTGTATGTGGTCGTTACCAGCTGAGATTACCATCAGCCACCAGCCTTGGTGGAAGGCCCCACTGCTCTGCAAGTCGGATCTCCTGCTGTACTGTGTTCTGCGTTACGCATCTGTCTTCACCTTTGATTATACCCTGTGATGATCCCCATTGTCTCATGGTAATTCCCTCCTCCACCTAACCTCCCTGATCACCTACCTGTGACTAAGGAGAAGAGTGGAAGCAGGAGCATGTTGTTAAGCCGCCCCTTGTGCCGGGACTGTACTCCATGGATCAGATCACAGCTGGTCACCGTGCTTTGAAAATGTCTTCTCCAAGTGGCCTTTCCAGTGTCGCCCACTTGTGGCATCACAGGGAGTCTCACAAGGGAACACCCATAACCAGTGTCAGAAATCGGGACTGTTCTGGGATTACATGTTTCAGACTTTGCAGATCCTCTTTGGAAATATATCCTCTGCCAAGAAACCCTTTACGGATGGCAGTGGCTGCCCATCTATTTCCTACACCAGCATTGTCCTGTTTGTGTGTGCGTGTGTGTTAATCCTTCAGAGCACACATCTCAAACTTCATATTCTCCTTTGTGAAAAATATAAAGGCCTATGCAAATTCACCAGTTTGGACTCTTAGAAAATGCCTGTGTTGACCCATTATGACGGGGAGGAATCACATAAGCTATTCAGTTTAGCCACATACATATTTCTTGGATTTCATCAACACTGAAGTCTAATAATCTATACTATTTTCTGTCTTACTAATTTTCATGTGCTTTTTACAAACCATATGCGTTTCATACCTTTTAAGAGAGGGATGTAAATGTAAACTCTGTAACTAGCAGCTCATTGTATGAATGCAGGTTCTGAGAGTGTTTAATGTGATGTCACAATAGGGTGGCTGGGAGGGGCAGTTTCCACCTTGCTTTTGGATGTCTTTACAAGCAAGAGGTAGTGGTATTTATCGGGTTGGTCATAACATGTTACAGAAAAACCCGGATGAACTTTCTGGCCAACGCAGTATATTCCCTAGTGGTATTTTTCCAAGGGAGGGGTTGAGAGTTGCGGGCACAGTGTTAATTGGTGACCTGTCCTGTCCTCCTCCCAGCGTCACCTCTGTGCTGTTTTCCACAGGGAAGGGCAGGTATGGTGAGGTGTGGAGGGGCAGTTGGCAAGGGGAAAACGTCGCTGTGAAGATCTTTTCCTCCCGGGATGAGAAGTCGTGGTTTAGGGAAACAGAATTGTACAACACTGTGATGCTGAGGCATGAAAATATCTTAGGTAAGTACACAATCCCCTCATCAATTTTTTTCTAGAAAGAAATAATTGCCTGCCTTTGCCCTTTCTGATTGGGTGTGTGTGAATATGCAAGCCTCTCCTGAATGGTGACATAGGGACCGTCAGCATTTATATACACTGTTGAATTTTCTTTTCACACCAATCTCTTGTTTAAATCTGCAGAGGAACTAAGTTTGAAGATTCTCTGGATGATGAAAAGGAAATTGTTATTGCTAAGTCTTCCTCTGCAGGTTGTTATTTAAATAACAAAAATTTGCCCCATATTGTTCACTTCAAGGCTTCCTCCGTAGTTCTGCTTACCCCACCCTTTTTGAATATTTATTACTTGAATCAAGCTAAGAAAGATCTTTGGACGATTTCCTAGAGATTCATAGCTCCCAGGGACATCATAATTAAATGCACATTCCTTCAAACAAGGCATTGCTTTTTAAAGCCCAGATTTAGAGAGGGATTTAGCATACATTTTAATTTGGAAACTAAAGCTTGGAAACATTTGTGAAACATGTGAAGAGCTGATTGAAATACTGCTATGGAAGTATAAAGGGTTAGAATATTTCAACTTCTTTTTGAAAAGTTTCTCTAAATGTGTTTATACTAATACCTGTGCGAGGAATGCTGCCTGGAGTGCTTCTTTAAGAGTGGATGTAAAGTTTCTATAGAATTTGACTCTTTATTATAGGATAGTTTTGGCTACGTCATGGCTATTGGATTGGGTTTGGCTTATAGGTAGATTGTTGCCAGAATTCATTTCTATTCCAGTACTGCCAGTGTAGTATTTGCCAGTATATTAATGAAGCCTGAGTCAAGTTGTATGCAAATCATGGTATGAAAGTTGTTCAAAGCTTGACTCTTAACAGTTTGATGGTGTGTTCCATCTCAGAACGGTCTCAGTTTCTGGTGTCCTTCCCTCCCCTTCCCCTCCCCACTGGGCCCCGGGCATCACCTAGTTCTCCTTACTGGTGTCAATGCTGTTGGTCTTGCCTTTCCAGTCCATCTTGTGATACTAAGTTATCTTCCATTGGGGAGCTGAGACGCTCCTGCTCAAAATGTCTTTGACTTTCATACTGCTTGCAGCATGTGTGACGTCTGAGCCTGGCATTCCAGGTGCTCTATTTTGAGGTCTCAAGGAGTCTCTGCTGCTTCCTCTATACACATGCCCACATGCAGCCACTTCCGATATTTGTTATTCCTCGGTATTGTCCATGCCTTCATCATGTGGCTCCTGCTTGTCCACTATCCCCATACCCCCGCTCCAGCCACCCTTTCTTGCATCAAAACTTCTCAGTTCCCTTCCAGACTCTCCCAAGGGATCTACCTGTACCCTTCTGCCCTCCGGTATTTCGTACCTGCACTATGTAACTCTTGTCATACACTGCCTTATGTTGTAGTTTGTGTGTATAACAGCAGTGATAATCAGATACCATGCAGTAAGCACTGCTGCCTGTCATGTCCATTTTCTCATTAATCTTCACCGTGACTGTAGAAGGGTAGATACTCCTGTTTTCCTGGTTGTAACTGATAAGGTTTTTGTTTTTACACCCAGTCCTGGGGACAGTTCCCTGCACGTGGTAGGTGCTCAGTAAATATTGATTAAATTGGATTTAATCACTCAGGAAATTTGAAAGTCACCTTTGCAATACAATTCATGGGAGAGAAGTTAGGGTCCCTCAGTGTGATCACAGAAGGCAAACCACTGTCCACTTCTTGTTAACTAATGATCCTCGGAAATTCTGAATTCATGAGATCTTGTACCCTCATCACAATAACAGCTGTGTGGATTCATTTTACTGTGTAGTCAGTCCTTTTAGTTGAGAAGGCACATAGAATATGTGCCACCTTTTTCAGTTTAACTTCTTCTTTAGCAGCTTTTTGAATGGAGAGGCTTGGAGGTTTTCTGTGATCATTTTCTTTTCTATCAGAAGAGCATATTGTCTTGAATATGAGATCATGATTTCCCCCACCCCTGAGTACTGCCAACTCTAGCCCCCAAGAAATACATAATTATACACACACATACACAGTTCTGGGCCTTCATTGGTTATCTCCCTAAAACAATCAACACTTTCTTCTGCTTTGTCTGGTGTAGAAGTCAGCAGGTAAGTGAATGATGGGAGGCTGTGTTATGGTGTTTGGAACAGTGTCTGGGAGTTTGGGAAGCTGGTTTCTACTCTCACATAATTAGAGGCCCACAATGTGACTTTGCGCCAGAGTTGTATGTTTCCTAGCATCCTTTTCCTTATCACTAAAACCAGGGAGATTGAGTTAATGTGAGAATTTCGGTCCAAAAACTATTTTTTTGCCAAGCTACACAGCTTTTGGGATGTTCACCAACCAGGGATTGAACCCTGTGTGGTAGGTGAAAACACTGTGTCCTAATAAACCACTGGATCACCAGGGAATTCCTGTCATCTTACACTCTTTTTTTTTTAAATTATGGTACACATGATATCACTTACTTGTGAAATCTAAAATATGACATGAGCTTATCTATAAAACACAAACAGACTCACAGATGTAGAGAACAGACTGTGGCGGTGGGGGGTGGGGGGTGGTGGAGGGGGAAGTATTGGGCGTTTGGGACTAGCAGATGCAAACTTATATATAGAATGGGTAAACAACAAGGTCCTACTCTATAGCATAGGGAACTATATTCAATATCCTGTGATAAACAGTGATGGAGAAGAATATGAAAAAGAATGTGTGTATATATGTATAACTGAATCACTGTGTTGTATAGCAGAAATTAACATGACATTGTACATCAACTATCCTTTAGTAAAATAAATTTTTAAAAGATTATAGCACCAAAAAATTATGGTACAGTATCTATTAAGTTGACCATTTTAATCATGTGAGATTTAAATACATTCATATTGTGCAACCATTACCCTCTCCATCTGTAGAAGTGTCTCATACTCTTAAAAGGTATTGATTCACCATTTAATGTCAGAATTTTTTGAGATCAATTGGAAGGAAACTCCATAAAAGATACTAAATTACAAAATTGGGGGTTGTAACTGAACCCTGAGCTATTTTGAGCTATGAGTAACCAACTACACTTGAACACTTACTGTGTGGTAGGCATCTTACCAAGTATTTTACCTGTACTAATTCTTTTATTCTCACAGTAACCCTTTGAAGTAAAGGACGGTGCTATTCATATCTTACAAATGAGGAAACCAAGGTGGTGATTTTCTTTATATTTTATATACTCTTTAAAAAATTTTTTCTTTTAAATTTTTAATTGGAGGATAATCACTTTACCATGTTGTATGGTCTCTGATGTACAACAGTGTCAGCCCTAAGTATGCATGTGTCCCCTCCCTGTTGAGCCCCTCTCCCAGCCCCCAAGGTGGTGATTTTACGTGACAGAGGTGGGATCACCCAGCACAGGATGGTGAGCCATGTGAATGCCCAGCACTGCGGCTCAGGAGCCTAACACTCTCAAACCCTATGCTCCACGGCATGCCGACCTCACCCGTCCACGATCAGATCTGCCACTCAAGAGGCTCACAAGGGTACTGCTTACCTCACTTAAGATTTGGGTTTTATTTTAGTTCTTGAGGAGCCTGGGAAGATGACTTTGGCTGTTCTGAAAGAGGCGTTTACTCTAATCACTTTTTCTCTGTGTTATGAACACATCCAATGGTTGGGCCAGACTTCCAACTTATGGGCACCTGTTCAGTCTCCACTAACAGTAGAGGCTTTGACTCAATCTGCAAATGTCCCATAAAAATGCTCTAGCATGTTGAAGCAAATGTAGTTACAAATTCAGACTTGAGTGGTAAACAGCTTTTAAAAATCCTACTTATTTGAAAGTCGTTTTTCTTGAAGGTCTAAAGCATAATTAAGGGCCAGAAAAAAATCCCTCTCTAAGAACTTGGGGACTTAGAGAAGGTGAGAGAATGAATCTTATTTACTTATTTATTTATTTAATCACTCAATCAATCAGATGCTGTGCTTCCTTGGCCAAAGGAATCAATAAAGGCTACACAAATTTATCGCAGTGATTTAATTTCTTTTGAGTGGTGCTTCTATAGTTTGGGATACTCATTTTTGAGAAAGTCATTAAAGATGGATATCATGTGGTATAAAATGATCAAGCAGAAACGTTTAAAAATTGAAGTATAGTTGATTTACAATGTTGCATTCATTTCTGCTGTACAACAAAGTGATCCAGTTATATATATATACACACACATTCTTTTATGTGTTCTTTTCTGTTATAGTTTAATCTCAGGATATTGAACGTCATTCCCTGTGCTATACAATAGGGTATTCCTTGATGGCTCAGTGGGTAAAGAATCTGCCAGCAATGCAAGAGACACAATAGACGTGGGTTAGATCTCTGGGTCTGGAAGATCCCCTGGAGGAGGAAATGGCAACCCACTCCAGTATTCTTGCCTGGCAAATCCCACGGACCAAGGAGCCTGGCAGGCTACAGTCCATGGGGTCACAAAGACTCAGACACAGCTGAGCGACGAAGCACCCACACAACTGTACAATAGGACCTTGTTGCAGCAGAAATATTTTCTTTCGCAAGAATAACTAACATCTAAGTGCACGTTTTGATTTATGTTATGGTCAGCTAAGGGTGCCAAGAGCATCGGCGATGGGGACACAAAGATAGGCTGGAGAAGAGTGAGAGACTAAGGCTGGCTGCGGGGTCCACCTTAGAGGAAGAGGGAGAAGGATGAAGATTCAAGGTGTAGAAGTGTTGTTCAGTTCACTTTACAGATGTCCCATGGGTACAGATGTCAGGATTGTCTTTCTCTGATTAGAAGCCAGCTTGTCTGAAGGCAGCATGAATTCGTAGGGAAGAGTCTGGGTTCTAGAGCCAGACTGCTGGCTGGCTTACTGATGTGGATGTCAGTGACCTTAACGTTACCGGCCTTAATGTCAGTGACATTACTGACCTTAGTGTCGGTAACTTCAATGTTAGTGATGTAATCCATCCCGTTCATGTGGTTGTTGGAGGGTTGCACATGGGGTGTTTAAACCTGTGTCTGGCACACTGCTGCTGCTGCTAAGTCACGTCAGCCCCATCAGGCTCCCGTCCCTGGGGTTCTCCAGGCAAGAACACTGGAGTGGGTTGCCATTTCCTTCTCCAGTGCATGAAAGTGAAAAGTGAAAGTGAAGTCGCTCAGTTGTATCTGACTCTTAGCGACCACATGGACTGCAGCCTACCAGGCTCCTCCATCCATGGGATTTTCCAGGCAGAGTACTGGAGTGGGGTGCGAATGCCGTCTCCGCTGGCACATTGCTAGTTCTCACTAATTAGTAACAGCTTCTGTTGATGATGATCAAATTAGGTACCTTTCTCTGTTCCCAGCACTTTCTTACACAAGGTATGGTGCATCAGGGCAGCTAGCATCAAACTTGGAGTTAGTAGCAACTTCATAGCCATGTGATCCTTGGCACCTCCCAGCAGCAACTCAATTATTTGTAAAATGAGTATAATGATATTTATCCTACTGGTCTGTTGAGAAAAATCCTAATTTGTGAAAATGTTATAAAAATCAAAATCTGTGAAAGTGTTACAAATTTGATATAAAGTACTTTATATAAAGCATTTTAATGTGTTTTCCTTTTCTTTCATACTTTCACACGTCATTTAATTCTTCGTCTTATCTGTCTTTAAAAAAAAAAAATCTTATATTTCTAAGTTGTAAATTTCACTCTCCGTCAAGTGTGTTCGTAAGGGACAGATCTATAATGCTAGGAAAGCATCTCTGTAGCAGAAAAGACAGGTTCACTATTTCACAGGTTCAGAAGTGCCTCTGACTTCAGGTTCCTTCAGTGTGCTGAAAAGTCCCCTCAGAATGTCTAGAAAAGCTTCTTCCTTCCTCTGTGTCTACATCTTTCAATATCTCACTTCTTTTTTAAAAATTTTATTGAAGTATAGTTGACTTACGGTATCAAATTAATTTCTGCTTTACAGCACAGTGACTCAGTTATACATACATACATACATACATACATATATATATATATATATATAAATTTCCATATTCTTTTCTATTATGATTTATCACAGGATGAGTATATCACACTTCTTTTCAAGACCCCTTCAGTAATCACTTCTTGATGGAAGCCTACCATAACATCTAGTCTGAGTTATTCTGATTCCCTGCTCTGGGCTCCTGTTGTCCTTTGCACATGTTAGTATACAATAAGGCTGTTCTCACATTATACTGTAATTTTTCCTTTTCAAATCTCTGTTTTCTAGCCTACAAATACCATCATCTTGATTGTCCTGTGTGACTGACAAAGAGGATGCTTGTTATATTTGATAGATTCCTTTTTAAATTCAATGAGTCAGCTATTTAATATAAACTCACCCCTTGATTTTACAGCAGAGACAATCCAAAGAGCCTAAGTGAGTTGTCCAGTATTACACAGCAGATCACAGGCAGATGGGAGACTGGAACACAGGTGTCTTAGGTTCTAGGTTTTGTGTTCTCTCTGGGTGGATGATGAATGATCTGTGCTTGGAATGCCAGCACGATGCAGGGTTTGACACTCTCATTGTGGGTAAGCACAAAGATATTATTCCTATCTGAATCTTCATGCAATGTAAAATACTTTTAAAAGGTAAAAAAAAAGTTCTAAAGGATTATTTACAATGAAAATGAATATGAAAATTTCCTATTCATGAGCAATGCCTTTTGAATGCATTAATAAGCACATTCTGTTTCTCTGCTGACGCCTTTGTAAACCTTCTTTCGTGGTAGTTGATGAGTAATCATTTCTGTCATGGGTGATCTCTACTCTGTGGGTCACTGTTTCTGTGCACTAAAGCTGTAATGTGGGATTCTCACTTGTCTGTTAATCTCTGTCATTGCGCCCTCCAGGCTTCATTGCTTCGGACATGACATCAAGACACTCCAGCACGCAGCTGTGGTTGATCACACATTACCATGAGATGGGGTCGTTGTACGACTACCTTCAACTCACTACTCTGGATACCGTGAGCTGCCTGAGGACAGTGCTGTCCATAGCGAGCGGTCTTGCACATTTGCACATAGAGATCTTTGGGACCCAAGGGAAACCAGCCATTGCTCACCGAGACTTAAAAAGCAAAAACATCCTGGTTAAGAAGAACGGACAGTGTTGCATAGCAGATTTGGGTAAATTTTTTTTAAGTATTTTTTAATTTACTGTTTTCACTTTTGTCATGTTCCTGTTTAGCTGGGTTGCATCTTTTTCTCTCCTAACAGTTACGGAAAATTTCAAGAATGCAAATTGAAATGGCTTCATGGTGAACACCTGTCTATCTACCACCTAGATTCTCCCATGAACATTTTACTGTTATCACATATCCAGCCTCCTGTTTATCAGTACACCTCAATCTCTGGTCCATTTCAAAGTCAACACAGACAAAAGAGCCCTTCCTTCCAGTGGCTTCAGCATACTCACCACTGTATCAGTCACTGGGAGTTTTTACTTTTTTCTTTTCAGGTAAAATTTACATTTCACATTAATTGCACAGATCTTAACTCTTTCAAGAGTTTTGACAGATGCTGTAAAGTCCAAATCCCTGTCAAGATACAGACCTTCCTGTTACCCTAGAAAGTCAGTTTGGGCTGGTTTAGTTTGTTCCTGCTCCAACCCACCCTGAGAGGCAGCCACTACTGGTGCTTTCTGATTTCACAAGCCTTTATAGAAAGTAGGTACACACATGTAAATCCATGGCTGATTCATATCAATATATGGCAAAAACCACTACAATATTGTAAAGTAATTAGCCTCCAACTAATATACATAAATGGAAAAAAAAAAAGTAGGTAGGTACACAGTTAAATAACCTGTGGAATGAGTTTATCTTTAAAATGGTATCTAAAGTTGTTCTTCTGTAACCAACGCAAAATTATATAAAGCAAAGGCGGCAGCGGGGGAATCTCCAAACCAATTTACTATTTGCTCTGCTGAGATATCTCAGTCTTAGGTGGTAGAGTGATGCTTAATGTAGCTTTAATTGCATTATAAATAAGATTATTTTCATTTAGAGTGGCATTCTATATAAAACCTACTTACCCTAGACCCGTAGAATATTGGCTGAATGATAGGCTAATGAGAATTGAATTGTAATACTGGGTCTTCATTTCAGTGGACTATTGGGGGTGCCCACTCTACTTGGATAAAAAATGTGTATCATATTTTCGTATCATTGTAGGTCTTATAGGTACGCTAATAAAGGTTTAGGCAGTATGAGCTCTAATTATATAAATGATAAAATTGTTATTAAACACAAAGTATTTGACATGTCAGAAAATTTTCTTTCTTTTGAATCCCTTTAAAGTCCATGTGTTCATGTTGAGAAATTATTTTACAGTGTTTTCCAAGTATGAGAAGACATGGCACATTTTTGTTGTGGCAAGCTGTGGTGTAGAAGGCTGTTACGGCCATGCGAGGAGTTAGGAAGCTAAGGTGATGTGTATTTCCCAGTTATTGAGCAGGATTTTTGTGCAGGTCCTTGCATCTGTTTATCTGCCCTAATTGCTGACCTGCTTATACTGAGTGCAAGAGTGGGGAGCTTAGCAAGGGGGACTTCAGTGTTTGATACTGTGCCTTGTACTTCTTTGTTGTTTGAAACTTTTATAATAGTGTGTTCATGCATTAATTCATGTTACTGAAAGTCAATTATGCCTCACGCGATTCTTGTATAAGATTCAGAAATTTTATAAATGCTTTGCAAATAATCACTTAAATGGTAGATGCTGTTATAGTCCAGAGGCCAAGGGAAGATGGCCAGACTGAGGCAGCTGTTGGTTTTGGTTTATGGGACTTGGAGGAAATTTGCAGCAAACCCAACTGATTAATTAATTAATTACATTTATTTTGGCCTACAGCCCTCCAATTGGATTCATGGTTTCAAACACAACTTTGTGTTTTAAGGGGTCATTGTTCAAGGAAGTAGATCAGTAGTACAGGAGATAGTTCCTATGCGACCACAATTTATATTAGCTTTTTACTTTATAGAAATTAAGAGTCACTATTATGTTGTTATTAATATTGCAAAACTACCAGTATTTTAGCAAAAATACCAGTATTGTATTTTCCTAACTTTTGATTATAAAAAAATTCAAACATAAAGACTGAAAAAAAAGTTTGATGATCATTCATATTGACAACACCTAGATTCAACAGTTACTAAAATTTTGCCAAATTTCCTTTATCTATATGTGGCTCAGTGTATATATTTGAAAATTCATTAGAAAATAAACTGTAGACGTCACAACTCTTTACTCCTCAATGCTTCAAAATGCACCCCCTAGAAATACTTTTCTTCCATAATCATACTTTATCACACCTAAAAGTTACTGATTATTCTTTAATATCATTTAATATCCATCTTCAAGTTTTTCCAGTTTTTTTGAAATAGGAANTTCAATGTATGACAAAAACTACTGTAATGATGTAAAGTAATTAGCCTCCAACTAATAAAAATAAATGGAAAAAAATAAAAATAAATAAATAAATGCTTTCTTCTCTGCAATCACAAAAAAAAAAAACCACTCATGGATATATTTTTAAACCACCACAGCCACAGCTAGCATCTCTATGCTTATTTAAACTGCACTTGTTTTGTATTCTGTTACCTTGACTATTTGGTTCTGGAAATGGTGGAGGGGCATATATGATTTGGGAAATGTCCATAGTCCAGTTCCATAGGAAATGTGGAATCTTAGGATTGGTTATAAAATTAAGGGAAAGGAACCAGTCTGATTGAGTCAAATGCAGTTGCCAGTGTCTCTGGGAATTATTAAGGCTGAGATGACAATGCATGCTATCTCCCGGCTTTACATGGAGTCGTCATCCCACCCATTCAGAGCCATGGACTGGGTGGAGAAGCATCCTCCACAGATGACCTGAGGGATCCCCACTGGGATACAAACATTTACACAGCCTGCTAACTCCACTCTGGCAATTTTCATTATTCTCAGTGTCAGAGAAATCATTTTCAGTTGGTCTGCCTATGCATCAAAAATTCCATTCTCAAATAAACCATGTATCTGTCCCTTGGCCTGTGAGGAATGTGGGTCTCTTTAACTGGCTGAGGAGTTCTGAAATGAGCCATGGCTTAAGACAGTGCTTCGAAACCATTTAACATGAGAGCCGGGCTCTGAATCTGGGGTCAGCTTAGTGTTCTCTGGCTGTACGTGTGGCGGTGGAGAAAAAAGCCTGTGGGTTTGGTCCCGGCTACGTTCAGATGGAGCTTCCCGGGTGGCTCAGTACTAAAGAATCCACCTGTCAGTTCAGGAGACGTGGCTTTGATCCCTGGGTTGGGAAGCTCCCCTGGAGAAGGAAATGGCAACCCACTCCAGGATTCTTGCCTGGAGAATCCCATGGGCAGAGGAGCCTGGCGAGGTACAGTCCATGGGGTCGCAAAGAGTCGGACATGAATGAGCGACTAAACAGTAACAATTGTTCAGATGAGCGGTCCTTCTTTAGGGACGGAGCAGGGCCCGGAGCAGTCACCTCTTTGTGTAGTGATGAATTAACTCAAAGTCCCTTCTTCAAACGGTCTGAAGTTTGTTTGGAGACCAGTGGGAGTTCTACTGGAGCTTGAGAGCTTAATTTGCTCCTTGTTAAGTCATTTTGAGGCTCCCATTTAACAAGTGAGTCTGTTTTCTTGTAGCTTTTGAACACCAGCTTCATATTGGTTTGGTGTATTATTGACTCAAAACTTTTTGTCTCTGAGGTTCCTATATTAACCTATTACACCCAGGATGTTTCTGGCATCAGCCCTACTTCCTGCTTTCACCTAAGTCATCACAACAGCACTCCAGGGATGACTGGGGGTGGTGGGGGTGGGAGATGGCGCAGTCACCTTGGGCGCCACAAGAGGGCGCTGTTGACTGGGGTTGGTTTGAAAGCCTTCCGCAACCCTCTGAGAAAGGGAGTGGGTTGACCCTGTTGTCTTCTTCCTTTTAGGCCTGGCAGTCATGCATTCCCAGAGCACCAATCAGCTCGATGTGGGGAACAACCCCCGTGTGGGCACCAAACGCTACATGGCCCCTGAAGTTCTCGATGAAACTATCCAGGTGGATTGTTTTGACTCTTACAAGAGAGTCGATATTTGGGCCTTTGGACTTGTCTTGTGGGAGGTGGCCAGGCGGATGGTGAGCAATGGTAGGTAACTGATCTCATATAATGTTTTCCTTGTCTGAGTCCTCTTGATCCTGCTACCTTTAAAACGGCAAAGGGAATATTAAGTCCACATGGTTCCATGAATCGTATTTGTGAAGCTGTCGGCATTTATACTTGATTTATGGCTGGTCGGTGGAAGGCGCATAAGGGCAGTCTGTTTTAACTGCATAAAAGGAGATGGTGGTAGAAAAAGTATTTCTGCAAGAGACTACGTGTTCTTTGATTGTTGGTATTTTTCCTTCAGTCCGTATTTTTCTTCTTTCCTCCATCCTCATGATTCTGACTTTCTCCCATCCTTCCTGCTCCTCTGCTCTTTTCCCAAGTGATCATCATGAGGAGAATGCTCAAGTAAATCTAAGGGTGAATCTTGCTATTGTAGATATGTTTACTTCTCAAGTTTGGATTATTGAGAAGAGACTCAGGTTGCACACTAGGAATTCACTCCTTTGTACAAAGCAGGCTGTACTTGCTGAGTAAGTGAAGTTTACATTCAGGAAGCTCTGAAGAGGAGGCTCGCGCTGGTCCTCGTATAAGGAAGTTTCATGAAATGGTGATGTTTGCCAGGGAAGCACATATTTGTCGATAATTCTTAACCTATATTCCCTACCATAACCTTTCACCTCCATCTTTCTTATCAGCCAAAAATACAAAAAAATGCACTGTTGAACTTTAAGTTTACTTTAGTAAACTTAAATTATTGCATTCTGGAGGCAATACCTATTCTCATTCAAATACAGCATGTGCCTCATCTACCCACAAAGCGGGTATCAGAGCAGCATCTCTTGAATCCACTAAATCAACCTCTTCACACCTTCACAACTGGAAGTCTTACTTCACAGAGGACACATCTGGAAATTGTTCTAGGAAAGCAGAAGAAAATGCTATATATTTAAACTGATACTCATTTTCAGGAGATGCTCTGCCTTCCTGGGACCCACTGGGATCCTAGATTTAAAGTATTCAAGAATGCATGGAGTCGCTAACACATACTCCATCTCACCTTCCACTGATACTTTCTTGTAATGATTGAAATTCTTGGGGTAACCATAATTTTCAAGAATAACACAGCCAGAGACTAGGAGGCTCTGTGAAGTGGAATTGGGGTAACATAACATAGTTTTAGTATGTAATAATTTAAATTGGCAAGCCTTTGTGGTAGCGTTCCCTCCCCCCCACCCCCCAGCAGAGTTTAACAAACTCTCTAAGGGTATCAGAGCCCTTGTTTCAGATTAAACATAAACACACAAATATTGTAACCTGACAGTTCTTTTAAAGACTTTTTTTTTTTTTTGGATGGAGTCATGAACATTTTCTTGGTAATTGTTTCTCAATTGTTGGGAGCTACTGACTTGCATTTTGTGCCATTCAAGCGCCTTGAGAATTGTTTGCAACAGAGTGATTGTTTTGCTGATGTATAAAGTTCTGTCTGAACTTTGCCTGAAATTGCACAGCGACTTCATTTCCCCATGCCCCTCCCTAATAATTCTTGAGAGGCTTAGAACTGAAAATCAAATTCTAATTAGTTTATCTTAAACACGTTAGAAAAGGATTGGTGTCATAATAAACCGTGTGATGGGAAACTTGCCCCAGATGAAGAGGAAGTTAATGTTCCAAGGCCAGGATGGTAGCAATCCAGCTGTGGGTGCTGGAGCTGCGCCAGGCCAGCCTGTGTGATGAAAGCTGAACTTGGCAGAAGCTCGGGACTTGGGCTTTGTAAGAACTCGTGTTGCGAATTCGTTCCCTGTGTCACAGGCTTAAACCCAAATGGCTTTTGAAGATCAGCTGTGATTAATAGGAGTCAGTTGGAAATTAAGAGTCATTGGTTTAAAATGGTAGCTCAGCAAATAATGGTTTTCTCAATCTATCTTCTAACATTATTTCTGAAAAGCGTGAAGGGTAGAGGGAGAGAGACTATTTTGGATGTTTTCTGATTTACTGATCTCCTACTTACATCATGGTTTAGATTGTTATCTGTTTGCTAAAAGTTTGTGGGTTGAGCTGCTGTTCTGTGGTTTGATTTTTAGGGGGCGGTAAGTCTCATTTTAAATCAGCCTCTGCCCCTTGACAATGAGTAATTTGGTTTTTTCCTCCTTCTCTAGTGTCCCTTCTCCCATGAACGTGTACATGCACAAAGACAGAAATTAGTTCATCCAAGCTCAAATTTGCGAGTGTTCAATGCTGCTTGCAGATAGATCTGTTAATATTTAGTAGTATTATTACTATCCCCAAACAGAAAAATGAGTAGGATTTGCCTTTGCCCTCCAACATTCATGTTTCTTTCACCTTCTTCTTTATGCAACCATGCGTGTGTGTGTGTATATATATATATATATTTTTTTTTTTACTTAGTTGTAATTCTGTAATTCTTAGATATAATCTGTATCTTCTTCATTTGTGGTTTTTTAATGTTCATCTATTTTCATTTTTGGTGGTCATGTTAACGGTCAGTTCATGAATTGAACTGTTTCCATATTGTTAGATATCCCGTCTCCTCCATGTGGGGCCAGTAGTAGATGTCTTTGTTCATATAACTTTTTCATTTAGGGAATTAATCTGAAAAACAGTAGACCTATTAGGTCAAAGAATATGGATGTTTTTATGGCTTGACACATATTGCCAAATTGCTTTCCATAAGAGTTGTTCTAATTTACAATATCCCGCTCACCCCAGGGTGTGATGTACCTATTTCACTTTCTTACTAGCTTTAAGAACTGACATTAAAAGGATATATATTTTTGAAATTATTGCATATTAAATGTACCTCATTTAAATATATGAATATCTTATCTTAGGAAGGTCATTATAATTATGCGTCCTTTGAGTTTCTGAGTCCATTATAAAAATTGATGACCAGATAGTTCTCCTGGAGCAATACGATCCTCAAGTGAACCATGAGTATAAAAATATGTTGCATTTTATATTTTCATGGGAACTTTACATTTCTTTGCTACTAATAATAAACTTCATGCTGTGTCTGTACAGGAAATGAGAGTTCAGTCCATTTTCGCATCTGAAATTATCTCAGTAGTGTCTTTTGGAATTTACTGTTTGTGTTTAGTTTGATACTGAATTTGGAATTGGTCAGAAGGAAAACCATTTTCTCACCATTTCCGGGTGAATTTTCTATGTGAATCTAAGGCAGGGTTTTGCTTGGATCACTGATGCTTAAGCTGGAAAGTGTACAGTAGGATCACCTAGAAACACAGACTACTGAACCCACCCCCAGAGTCTCTGATTGATAGGGCTGGGGCTGGACCCAGGATTTCGTTTTCTAACAGGGCCCCAGGTGATGCTGTGCTGTGGTCAGAGACTGTACTCTTGAGATCCCAGGTTAAAATGGAATATATTATATCAGTTTCAATCAGGCTGGGAAATAAAGACTGTCTCTAGGATGCTGATAGGGCCTGTGTAAGCAGGATTTCTTGGTTTGTGTTCTGATACGTGAAACTTGCTCTCTCTTCCAAGCCGAAGCAGGGTTCCTTTCTCCTTTTAGTCTTGTAGCTGGGCCTTGGCCTTTCTTTCTGGAGTTTTGCTACTTCTCTGGCAGTACTCTTCCTTTCTTCCTTTAATATTATAGTTCTGCAGACACACTGCTTTCTTACTTGGATTCAGTGTGACATGGAGGCAGAACTTGACATGTGGACACCACAGGTAAGTGGGTGCATCATAGCTCTTCACTTGTGCCATTTAGCTTTGGGTCTGATCAAAATACCTCTAGTAGCCCCAACCAAGCATCCTGCAGCTGTTCCCTCTTGGGATCAGAAGTCCTTTCTCTGAAGCCTCAGCTTTCAGTGTTTAGAACCCTGTATGTAGAAACATCAGAGCTATATTGTTCTAATACTGTGGTCATCTGCTTATGGATTTAAAAACGGAAATGATCTTCACTGTCCCTCCTTTGGCACATCTTTGACTGTAGCATCATCCAAGCAGCATGAGCCTCTGTTAAACTTCACGTGTCTCCTCTTCCCTGCCCACAGGAGGGTTCTGCAGACACGCTTCCATTGCCCTGTGACTGGCTTTATTTTGTGATGGAATCCAGCGTGGCAAAAAGCATTTGTATCTTATTGAAAAAACCCTGCTGGCCAAGCTACATCTCTTAATGGGGTGTGGACTAGGAAATACTTGTTAGAATAAGCTTATGTTTGGCACACATACTTTGGAAAACCTCCTCTGTGAGTCCTTGGGCTGGCCAAGGAAACACATGTGCGTCTAGTTCCTAAGCACAATGGGCTTGTGTACAGAAACCACAACAATGCGATTTTCTTCAGCAACTTAACATCCAGTGTGTTTCATGGTTTTGTTTCACTACTTCAGTGTCTATTAAGGTTTGAACAAAGGGGAGAAACATATTAGAGAAATTTTTAAGTATTCAAGAAATTTCTTTCAGGTTTATTTTGTCTGAGGCTTTAAGTGTGGGTTTGGGTTCGCCTGAAATGCGGGAGACCCAGGTTCGATCCCTGAGTTGGGAAGATCCCCTGGAGAAGGAAATGGCAGTTCACTCTAGTACTCTTGCCTGGAGAATCCCATGGACGGAGGAGCCTGGTAGGCTACAGCCCATGAGGCTGCAAAGAGTCAGACACAACTGAGCAACTTCACTTTCACTTTGGGGCAGGAATATAGAAGTGGAGTAGGAAGGGAGGATTTTTTTCTTGATTCCTGGACTTTTAGGGCCTTGAGTTAAAGGTCTAGACCAGAGCAGGGCAGTCAGTTGACCTCACGACAGAATAATGAGAGGCCAGCAGAACTTTACTGAGTGGTGTTTGCTGCTTACCCGTCTCTCTTCCTTGACACACCTTTCAGAGCCCGTCCACCAAGGCAAGCCTCTGTGAGGTCAACCTTCTAACAGCCCCGGCATCAAGTGAATGATGCATTCTTCTTGTAAGGCCTCCACAGCCAGCAAATGCTCGCAACTCTAGTGGAGCATCTCCCTCTAGGTTGAGGTTTGTGAGATGTAAGGTGTCTGGTCACAGCTTAACTCAGAACATGGCTAAGCCTTTGACGTCTCCTCTGACAACTGTAACATTAATCAGTATTTTTAGTAGGGCTCGACTGGGCAGCAGTCTCTGAACCATTTGCTTTGGTGCTGTTTCTTTGCTGTGAATCTCAGTAGTGGAAATGACTTTTAACAGATTTCAGATGATGCATTTAGTCTTAACTTTGATGTACATGGTTCCACAGGCCCATGAACTGGGCTGGGGGTAGTGGGATGAGGTCATCGCTGCCACACGTGTACTTTACTTAGCAGAGAACAGAGCTGTCCTTCCAGCTGAGTTCCTGTTTCAGAAAGGTGCCCCTCCCTTGGGGAGAAAAAGAGCTTCCCAGCAAGTGCGCCCTGTTGGTTCAGGCGTGACTGTCTGAAATCTCTGGCAGTGAGGCAGGGTCAAGGGGGACTGGGACTGGAACCCCTCGGCTGTCATCACCTTGGCTGTAAGAGTACCATCCATTTGTCAGTCGTTTTTTATGTGGGCCATGGCATGAAAACTGTGTTTGAAACCCTCCTGTGAGGAGTGTTAAGCAAAGTAACACAAGTAGATTTTTTTTTTTTTAAGTAACATTTTTCATTTATTTTTTAAGATATATTTATTTGGCTGTGCTGTATCCTAGTTGTGGCATGTGAGATCTAGTTCCCTGACCAGGGATCGGACCCCGGCCCCTTGCACTGGGAGCACAGAGTCTTGGCCACTGGAGCACCAGGCAAGTCTCAGGAGATACATGTTTTTGAATCTTGTTCCTACCGTGAAAAAATGCATCTCTGAAAACAGTGCTTCCCAAGATTCTTTCATAGATGTACTACCTTTATGATCTTTTTTCTATCCAAGTGCCACTTGGCCCATTATTTTCTTAATTGTTTGAAATTTTTCAAACATTTCTTTTTAAAAGGAAATTAATGTCACTACTGGAAGTGGGAAAGCCAGCATCCCATGGCATTAAATGGAAGATAATGTTAAAAATACATATACAGTTATTTAATAAGATGAAAAAGTTTTATCTGTGAACCATTTTCTCACAGGTCATCCCTGAAGAAAACACTGTGTTAACTTATAGAGATTTCTCAGAAGGCAACCATAAAGCACTCTGATTCTCTGTAAAATGGCTTTAGTCGTGATGTTCTAATTTCTGGAGGGTTTTTTAATTCCTGTAGGCATTAACGGTTAATGGTAGCACTCTGTATGTATGTAGGTGCTGGGGCTTCTCTCTCCCTCACCTGTCACTTGGGTGTGCCCACCCAAGTTGTGGGGCAGTGGAGAGAGACAGCGTGACATGGAGTGTGCCCACTGTTGTGATGAGATGTACGCACTGCCGTTTTGGGCTTGGTGGGCAGTGATGTAGAATACAAACAGGGAAGTGGATTCTGGTTTGTCATTAATTAGCAGTGAGCTTAGACAAGTACATTTTCCTCAGTTTCTTCTCCTGAAGGAAAAGAAGGCTGTGATCTACCTGACTCTTAACATCACATGGATGTATTATTTTTATTTCGATTAATTATTGGAGTGTAATTCCTGCACGGCGCTGTGTTAGTTTCTGTATACCATGAAGTGAATCAGCCAGATGCATACACACGTCCCCTGTCCCGCCCCCACTCCCCATCCCACCTCTCTAGGTCATCGCAGAACCCCGGCCTGAGCTCCCTGCGCTATACGGCAGCTCCATGCAGGTATCTTTGCCTCACCTTCAGACTGTTCAAATTATAACTAAGTCTACAACCCCTTATTATCTGCAACTGAAAAAATCCCCCGAACTTTGAAAGCCCAATGGTTCGGGTATGGAGGATCACGAGGAAGGCCTTGTTTCTGGATACTTGCACTTTCAGAAAGACCCCTCTGGTGTTTCATGTGGTTTGAAGCCCTGTCCAGGGCATTCTTGAGATCGTGATGTGTCCTTTACAGGTGTTGGAACTAAGGCCTGGTAATTAAGGCTTTTACTTAGGACCAGGCAGTGAATTAATGCCAGGGATATTGTTGGTAAAGGTATATCTGCCCCAGAGAAAAATATCACTTAGACACATGTCCAGGAGTAAAACTGTGTAAATCAGATACACATGCCCAGCGTTTTGGGGGAAGAGGTTATGGATAATTTCTCTGAGCCTTTCCGTGGCTCTTGAGGTTTCACCCCGCTAGCTGAAGCAGCACGGCCTGGCAGGCTCCGTCCCGCCTTGACCACTCTCACAGCGCTCCTGGATCCTTTGTGGCTGTGCCACTCCTTTGGCACTTGAAGCACTTTGTATTTTTAGCCCCCTTTGCTGAATGCACGCTGTTCTCTTCGCTGGCTCACGATTTGGCAGTTGCTTATTGGGTGCTGCTGTAAAAGGACTTGAAAGTCCACTTGTTTTCTGGCAGAAGAGGAACAGTTGTAAGTAACTTCCTGCCTCGACAACATGAGTCATTTCACAGCCTCGCCTTGATCTCTCACCCCACCCCCCCACATGTGCACCCACATCAGCCACAGGGAACGTCCCTGGCCCTCCCCAGCACGGAGGGATCACTGTGAACCCCTTGTCTTTGTCCCGTCTCCCCTCCTGTCCCCCCCACCTGGAGTGCCCCCTCTCCTTGGCGTGTTCTCGTCCCACAGTCTTTCTTGACAGCTCCTCGCTCTGCTCCCTCAAGTCCTGGCTCCCAGAAAGCTTCTTAGGCTTCCATGGCACCAGGTTTATTATGTCTGGTACTTAAACCACACAGGTGGTGTGGTTTAATTCTCTAAAACGCCCTGAGCACCGTGTCCCCCACTCCTTCTGCCTACTCCTAGTTTGTATTTTTTTCACATATTCTTTTCCCATTATTTTTGTCACCAACATCACATCTTTATTTGTATATCCTTGGTGCAAAGGACAACCTCTGGATCACAAAGTTTAAGGGATTAAAGTGGTTTTTGAGCCAGTTTGGAAACTAGCAAGTAAAACTTAGAACGTCTATCTTTGCCTTTCAAGATATATAAAGTCATAAAAAACTTTTTTTTTTTTTTTTAAACAAGATTTCCATTATCTAAGCAAAAAAAGAGAGGGACTTGTCCTCATCTTCCACTAGAGTTCCTTGAAAACTGAGAGTATATCTTATTCTTTTATCCTCAGTGTTTAGTATGATGTTCCACACATGGTTGGTATGTAATGTACTTTGAAATAATTGCTTTCCTTGACCAGAGGGAGTTCTAGATGATGGTGGAGTTTAATCCCAGACTTATTTTATTCTGGGGAAGCATGATCAACATTAGATGGAGAGTCAACCATTTGTCCAATGGTTGACAAGAGGTGTGACTAAGTCCCAGACATAATGAATTAAATGGTCTCTTTAAACTTGATTCCTTTTGTTAAAAATGGCAGTTAAAATTAAAATATGGAGAACTATAAACCCAAAAGAAAACATCTTCGTATAGTAAAATTTACTGTTGAGTATTCCCAAATTCTGTTTTAAAAATCTTACTGTACTTTTGCATTTACATAAAAATTCAACTTCATAGTCGTGTAACCCTTCCCAAGCTGGCTAGGCAAATTACTCCCACATGTGGCCCTTATAAAGGTATAAATTATTTTGCAGGTCTGTGTTCAGCTCTATTTTATGTGATGTCTCCTAGTAATAATATGTGTATTGAAAAGAATTAAAATATTGTTTGAATGCTTCCTAGGGACCTGACGAGTAGTAGTAGATAAGGCCTCTGAGATGCAGTATTTTAAGTCATCTTTTGAAAGCAGTGATTTATGCCCAGTCTGAACTGTTTATGATTTGCCAGGAAAGGTTCTAATCCACTGACTAGTACACATTACAAATACAGTCAAGCAATGTGGGTAAGTTAGATTTTAAAATATCAATTATAATTTTTAAATCTAATTTAGACTACATTCCATTTTAAAAATATATCTATGAAGTTTAACAAAACTATAGTATTTAACAGATGCTCCTTATCATGACTAATCTTTTCTATAAATGGTTTGTATTTATATGGGATCTGTTAGAACAGCTTCTCACTGTTAATTTGACAAATGAAAGGAGATTGCAAAACAATTATCTTCCCGTCTATGCCAATAATCGATCTGGTAGGTATTTAGGAACAAAAGTTACATGGAGGAAGAGGGCAGTAAACCAGGGAATCCACTATCCACATTGTTGAGGCCTTTGATGATGGAAGAAAAGTAATGGATTTCCTGGGTTTTATTTCTATAAAGAGAAGAATCCATTTTCTAATTCCAAATTATTTCTTTAAATTTTTCTGTTTGTGGAACTACTTTTCTTTGCAAAAAGTAAGGAACTGATGTAATTTTGCTGGGGAAAAAGATTTCCAAGGCATTGAAAACCATGCAGGAGCAGAAGCAGAAATTAGCCACTTTCATAATTGCCTGGGAGTGAGGAAGAGTTCATTCTTTTTAGCCATTCTTCTCCTTTCCAAATGACTGTCCTCTGCATTTTATTTTGTGCCTTTGATCTAAGAGGAAATAATAGAGCCATCAAACAGACAGCTGTGAATGACAGAGGGTACTTAGAACATACGGGATGAATGAGGAAATTCTATTTCATATTACATTATTTGCATCCTCTGAAGGGGATGGATTATTTCACAGCAGTGACTTGTTCCCTAATAACAGAAAGGGGTATTTTGCTGATGGTTTTGGATTATTTGCCTCTAGCTCTAGTTCATGGACTGCATTTCATTTCAGTTTATGGTTTGAAGTTACTAGATTCATGTACTTTTCTTTAGGTATCTTGACCCTATTTAATTAAAGAGATTCTCTTTGAGTAGTAGTCACATTTTCTTCTAACAGTTGTTGCCCTTAAGTTTTCTGCAGGGCTTCCTTCCTTTGCTTTGTTTTCCTTGTATTTTTAAGACCTACCTGTGGCTTTTAGGATCATCCTGAAGTTTGAAGAAGGTGATCAGTGCTTTTTTTTTTCTGCATTGTATCCCGTGATGCCCATCACTAACACCCTGGAAACCTCTATTCTTTTGCTAACCAACACAATTCTTGTCCATGTATGAAGGTATTGTGGAGGACTACAAGCCACCATTCTATGATGTGGTTCCCAACGACCCAAGTTTTGAAGATATGAGGAAGGTAGTCTGTGTGGATCAACAGAGGCCTAACATACCCAACAGATGGTTCTCAGACCCGGTAAGAGTACTATGCTTGCTTCATGTCAGAGCTATACTGTCTATATATTTGTATACAACTCTATACATACCAGAGTTTCAGCTGGTAGAGTGATGTGTTGCTTTCTCTCCCTATTTTATGTAAAAGGGCTTTAAGACTTAGTTGAACAGGTTCACAAAGTGGTCTCATTCTTGAAAGAGCCACATCAATAGATCTTGATAACAAATGACAACATTCACAAGATTTTCTACCCTGGAGCAGCTCCAGGAATTGGGAGACTCATTACTATGCCACTAGCGCTGGGGCTGCAGTTTCACCTGTAAACCAAGAGACTTGAATTAATGCCTTTAAACTCTTTCCTGTCTCTGCATATCTGAAATTCCAAACATAGGCTGTTTAATGCTAACAATCCTTAATTGCTGTTGTTAAGTAGTAAGTAGCAAATCTTAAGACATTGAGAAATGACCCTATTTGCATATTTCAGTATTAACTCTAAGTTAGTACTATGGCTTTTAATACCCATAAAACTATCAAGGGGTCCAGATTGGTCTATGTAATTGACTTGGTAAAGTCAGATGGTAGCATTAAGACCCTCAAGAGTGGCTTCTTTATCAGTGGCCAAGGCTTTGATTATTATGTAAGGAAGATGTTAATAACATCACAAGACCTGCAGAGCCCTGCAAAATGGTTGACATAACATCTGCCCAACTACTTATTCACTGTGGTGTTGGTTCTTTCTCTCCTCAGACATTAACCTCCCTGGCCAAGCTGATGAAAGAATGCTGGTATCAAAATCCATCTGCCAGACTCACAGCCCTGCGTATCAAAAAGACTCTGACCAAAATCGATAATTCCCTAGACAAATTGAAAACTGACTGTTGACATTTTCATGGTGTCAAGAAGGAAGATCTGACGTTGTTGTTGTTGTCCAGCTGGGACCTATTGCTGGCCTGACTGGTTATCAGAACAGAATCCATCTGTCTCCCTCCCCAAATGGCTGCTTCGACAAGGCAGACATCTTACCCGGCTGTGTGCTGGGGAAGACACCAAAACCACCCTAACCTCGCTCAATGACTGTGACCTGGGCATTTCACAAACTGTTCACACTGCAGAGACTTAACGTTGGACAGACAATGTTGCAAACGTAGGGAACTGGAGGAACACAGAGAAATCCTGAAAGAGATCTGGGCATTAAGACAGTGGCTTTGCATATCTTCACAGGTCTCCTAGACACTCCCCACGGGAAACTCAAGGAGGTGGTGAATTTTTAATCAGCAATATTGCCTGTGCTTCTCTTCTTTATTGCACTAGGAATTCTTTGCATTCCTTACTTGCACTGTTACTCTTAATTTTAAAGACCCAACTTGCCAAAATGTTGGCTGTGTACTCCACTGGTCTGTCTTTGGATAATAGGAATTCAATTTGGCAAAACAAAATGTAATGTCAGACTTTGCTGCATTTTACACATGTGCTGATGTTTACAATGATGCTGAACATTAGGAATTGTTTATACACAACTTTGCAAATTATTTATTACTTGTGCAGGTAGCAGTTTTTACAAAACTGCTGCATGCATATGTTAAAGCTTATTTTTATGTGGTCTTATGATTTTATTACCAAAATGTTTTTAACACTATACTCTGAAATGGACATTTTCTTTTATTATCTGTTAAATTCACATTTTAAGTGCTTCACATTTATATGTGTGTAGACTGTAACTTTTTTTCAGTTCATATGCAGAACGTATTTAGCCATTACCCACGTGACACCACCGAATATATTACTGATTTAGAAGCAAAGATTTCAGTAGAATTTTAGTCCTGAACGCTGTGGGGAAAATGCATTTTCTTCGGAATTATCCATTATGTGCATTTAAACTCTGCCAGAAAAAAAAATAACTATTTTGTTTTAATCTACTTTTTGTATTTAGTAGTTATTTGTATAAATTAAATAAAATGTTTTCAAGTCAAAGTGAATTTTGTTCAACATAAAAAAAGATCTACATATTATAAAGCATTTTCTTATGGAAACAGAAGCACAAAATTAATTTATAAGTCAAATTTGCATAAGTCTATTAACGAACTTAAAGGTTCTAAGGAGGATGCCTCCATCTTAAATTTGGTACCAGAAAATTTAAACTTGGTGGGGTGGAGGGGCTGCAATTTTATTTTTTTCTTAGATCTGTTGCCCCCACTAAAAAGCTGGGGAAACTGACTGACTGACCTGCCTCCTTAGAAAGAGACTTGTGAATGTAAGTGGAAAGAAGAAGGTCAAAGCATTTTGTTCAGTGTAAAAATCCTGTGTGAAGGAAAGCAGTTTTTGGCATTTTACCTATCTTTGCTGCTTGGGAAGAGTTGGTTGTTGGCTTTTTTTACTTGTGTTCAATGGGATTTAAAATGTAGGGTTTAGAGTAACTCAGAGGTGTTAAAATTCTGGAATGTTCACCAGAGGTAAGTTAATAACTTCATTAGTATATATTTATGTGGAGGGCATATATTAAGGTCACACTTAACTTAAAAAATTGTGATAAAACACATAAAAAATTTATCCATCATAACCATTTTTACATATACAGTTCAGTGGTATTAAGTCTATTTACATTGTAATGCTGCTACTGCCCCAGCCAGCCACAGAACTCTTTTCATCCTGCAGAACTGAAACTCTGTCAAATGATAGCTCTTCATTTCTCACTCTCTTCAATCCCTGACACCCATCATTCTATTTTTTCTTTAGTTTGGCTACTCTAAGTACCTCATAGGAATGGAATCACACAGTATTTGTCCTTTTGTGAGACTGGCTTATTTCACTTAGCATAATGTCAATGTTCATCTGTTATAGCATACATTAGAATTTCCTTGTTTTATAGTCGGTAATATCCCACTGTATATATATCTATATCTATATCTATATATACACACACACACACAGTGTTTATCCATTCATCTTTTGAGGGACACTTCAGTTGCCTCCCCATTTTGGCTGTTGTGAGTAATGCTGCCATGAACTTGGGTGTATAAACATCTCTTGAGTCCTCCCCCTTTCAATTATTTTGGCTGTATACTCACCAAATGGAGTTGTATTTAACATTTGAAGTATTATATACATATATAAAATTGTACAGCGTGATGCATTTTTATAAATTTATACACTGATTGCACCCATGGAAACAGCACCTAGATCAAGAAGTAGAACACCAACTTCTAGAGGAATGTCAGGATCATGGCAGCATGAGTTGTTCTTTTCTCTCTTTGGTGTCACATCCATAACTGAACGAAAGTGCCTCTGCACATTATACCAGGACAGCAGGGATTACTGCGTATCTCTGCACCTCAAAATAGAACTTCAGAAGGGCTGTGGGTCCCAGGGAGACAGTAAGCCTGCTTCACCCCTACTTGCTGTGATCAGGAAAAGGAAAACCTGAAGAGTATAGAACTGAGTGTCGGACACTCATGGGAGACAGAGAATTTGTAGGGGTCCAGCCAACCTGATGGGGAGGTTCCAGGACACTACTAGAGCTGGACAGGGGTGAGTCTAGAGGCAGAGGAGAGAGGGGACGCCACTGAGGCACCTGATTTGCCCAGGATGCTGCTGCTGCTCTATGTTTGTGTCGGCATTGGTGGCTACCTCTTTGCCAGCAGCGGTGGAAAACCCAAATGTGAGTGACAGACTGCCTGGCTGCTAGAGGTACCTATTTGTCTCCAGCAGCTCTTAGATTTCTGAGGGGGGATTTCTGTGACTGGGAGGAGAGGAGAGGAGATGGAAGGAAGCAAACAAGAATGCCAGAGAACACCAAAATGATGTGTTTCCTGCCATCTGCTTTGGGATTTCAGCTGGCCGTCTACTCACAGATCTCTGGGAGTACCCCACTCGTGGATCTCCCTGTCAGGTCGCGGGCATCCCCAAAGCCCCAGGCAACTCAGCCCACAGTTCCTGGCTCTTTCTGTGCTCCTGAATGCAGCCCTGAAAACTAACCCTGGTAAGGAAAAACCAGAAACGTGAGCTACAGTGTCATCTTCTGGAACACAAAAGGTTTTTAGATGCCAGCCTGTTGACTTGTGATAGCCAGAGAAAACAAATCCTTCACTAAGAAAAGTGTCTGCTATTGCAGAAGCAAAACCTCAAACATTATGGAAAATCAAGGAAATATTGTGTCAAAAAAAGAACATTAATTCTCCAGTAACTGAACTCAAAGGCATGGAATATTGTGATCTGATAAAAAAAAATGCAAAATAGCTATTATGAAGAAATTCAACAAGCTATAAGAACACTCAGAAAGGAAATGCAGTGAACTTAGGAATAAATTTAATGATCACAGATTCTTTATCAAAGAGACTGAAATTTCAAAAAGAACCAAATAAATTTTGGAGCAGAAGTCAGTGAATGAGATGAGGAATTCATTAGTGAGCAAAAGTAACAGATCTGATGAAAGAAAAAATAAGTGACTTGAATGGTAGTTTAGAAATGATTCACTTAAAAGACAGGACTAAGGTTTATAAAAAGTGAAACTCAAGAGTTATCAGAAAAGCAAATACTAGATACTGTACCAGAAGGAGAGAGAGAAGGGGGCAGAGTTTATTTAAAGAGAACTTCCCAACCCTGGAGAAGGAATTGGACATACAGGTCCATGAAGGTAACAGCACAACCTATTATCCCAATGCAGACAGACTGTCTCCAAGACCCAGTCTAATAAAACTGTCAAAAATCAACAGACACGTGGATATGGTGGCCGGTGGGGGATGGGGTTGGGGATAGTCGGGTAGGAGATGAACTGGGAGAGGAAAGCTGACATATGTACACTACCATGTGTAAAATGGCTAGTGGGAAACCTGCTATAAAGCACTGGAAGCCTGGTTTGTGGTGCTCTGTGATGATCTAGATGAGTGGGTGGGAGGGGGGTCCAACAGGGAGGGATATAGGTGTACACACAGCTGATTTACTTCACTGTAGAGCAGAAACTAATACAATACTGTAAAGCAATACTCCAGTAAAAGATCAATGATGATGAAGCAACTAGGGAGAAATTCAAGTAACCTACAAAGCAATCTCCGAATAAGCTATCAATGGGTTTCTCTGCATAAACTCTATATGCCGCAAGAGAGAAGAAGGACGTATTCAAAGTACTGAAGGATAAAAGCTGCCAACCAAAATTAAACAACAAACCTATCCTTCAGATATGAGGAGAAATAAAGACTGTCCTAAATGAGGACTGAAGGAGTTCACCAATAGACTTGCCTTGCAAGAAATTCTAAAAGAGTTTAAGCTGAAATGAAACCATGCCAGTGACAGAAAAACATGGAAGTTCACAGTACTCTGATAAAGGTGGAAATTAGAAAACGTTTAACTTTACATTAGAATGGTTTGTTAATCAGTTAATGATAGTATAAAGTTTAAATGAAAAAACTCAAGAATAACTACACTATATCTTGCTAATAAATTTATGGCATAAAAATGTTAACTGTGATGTCAAAACTATAAGAGGAGGATTAAAGAGGGGAACCTTTATAGGTGAACAAAGATAAGTTGCTATCAGAATAAAAAGGGCTGTTTCATCTATAAGATCTTAGCTTCTGGTTAACCAAGAAACAGAAGTCTATTATAGAGTCATAAAACATGGGGGAAAAAAAAAGGAGACTGAGCAAATTACAGGGAAAACCACCAATTTGCTAAGGTATGCAGAGGGAAATAAAAAACAAGGGAGATGGTAAACCACCAGAAGGCAAATGATAAATTCTTGCATAATCAGGAAATGTAAAGGGACTGAAATCACTAGGTTAAAGGCAGACAGGAGCTTGAATGGATTAAAAAAAAAAGAGCCAGCTCTATGCTGCCTAAGGAGACTCATCAGCCCTAAAGACACACAAAGATTAAAAGGAAAGGGTTGGAAGAGGACAGTTCATGTAAATGGGCTTCCAGTTCCATCAGGTCTTCATTAATAATCTTGTGTTGCATGAATTCAATGAAGTCATCCTTACAGATCTAGCTTGAGGTTCTTGCTAAGGCTGAGTTGCTGAAGACCTCTTTGGATTCCTCCTAACACACATTCGCAATTTTGAAAGTTTGCAACTCGAATCTTCGTTTGTAGGGGCTTCTTGTACAGAGAAGCATAAGAGACTACTATGAGCTACTATAGGCCAGTAAAATGAACAATGTAGATGAACTGGATAAGTTTTTAACTTAGAAAGGTAGTCTTTGAAGACTGAACCAAGAAAAAAATAGAAAATATGAACAGACGAAATACAAGTACTGAAACTTAATGTGTGATTAAACAACAAAATTCCCAACAAAATTCCAGGACCAGATGGCTTCACAGACAAGTTTTACCAAACATTTAGAGAAAAGTTAACATCTATCTTGAAACTATTCCAAAATTTTGCAGAGGAAGGAATACTTCCAGACTCATTCTATTAGGCCAGCATCACCCTGATACTAAAACCAGATGAAGATACCACAGAGAAAAGAAAATTACAGGTCAGTATCACTGATGAGTATAGACACAAAAATCTTCACCAAAATACTAGCAAAGTGAATCCAACTATACATTAAAAAGCCTCTTCATGAAACAGCCTTGCCATGGCAAAGGGAACTGTATAACTCAATGAAGCTATGAGACATGCCATGCTGATCCACCCAAGATGGACAGGTCATAGTGAAGAGTTCTGACAAAACATGGTCCACTGGAGGAGGAAATGGCAGATCACTCCAGTATTCTTGTGGAAAGAATCCCATGAACAGTATGGAAAAGAAAAAAGATATGACATAAGATGAGCCCCTCTCTGTCAGAAGGTGTCCGATATGCTACAGTGGAGGGAATTACTGACATTAATAGCTCCAGAAAGAATGCAGCAGCTACACCTAAGTGGAAATGGCACTCAGCTGTGAATATGTCTGGTGGTAAAAGTAGTCTGATGCTCTAAAGAATAATATTGCATAGAAACCTGGAGTCTTAGGTCCATGAATCGAGGTACATGAAA